TATATATATTTCTCAGGATATATATCCTGAGAAATGGTGCACTTTCTTGTTTCAATGTGAGCCAAAATGATAAAAAAATTTTTAGAAGCTGTAGTCTGATTTATGAAAAAGATATGTTGGAATTTCCTTTTGTTGAGTTTTATTTCCATAAATCTTCCCATCTAATGATCTGGAGAATATTTTGTATTTTGTTGGAGGGAAAATGTATTGACATTGTGTTGTTTTGAAGGTCTATGTAAAAAAAATTTGAAACTGCCAAAAATYGGTTTTGTTAGCCCAGAACTTTACGAAATTTGGAAATCGGAATTGGCTGACATAAGTATAATTGGTGCATCAAGGTTATAATAGTTTTGTAATTTTCATTAAAGTTTAGTTTTATTTTGTTTTGACTTTTTTCTTTTGATTCAGTTAGTTTTAATTAGTTTTTACAGTGGATTTGCTAGCTTTTATTAGTTATTATTGCCTTTTTAATCCTTAGTTTTAGTTTAGTTTAGTTTTCATTAGTTCTCGTATTAGTATTTTCATAGTTTGAATAAACAAATTTGCAGACATATCCTCCCACTTGAGGTGTTCTTGTGAGTTAACTAACCAGCAGCTATTTGGTCACCAGTGAAAACAGTATAGCAACACCTTCCTAAAATAATCGCATAATTCAATTTTGCCAACAAAAGACTTTGGCGATTATTTAAAAAAGGTAACGATAGTTGTCTCCAACCCGGTGCTACCTGGCCGGGCTGTTGCTTGTTTTTCATGGGGGCTACTGAGAGAGCTTGTCAAGATACTCATTTAGTCCCTTGAGAAGTATTCAACCTTTTTTATCACCTGTTTCCACTACAAGACACTAGCTCTTATTTTTCTAACTGTCTTTCAAAAAATATCCCAAATTGAACTTAGCTGCTTGCAGCTAATGTGCAATGTTTGAAGAAAAATAAAAGATTTGTTTAATCAGTCCACACGGCTTAAAACAAATTGACAAACACTAAAACTAAGGATATTATATCTATAATTTCAGTTAGTTTTAGTTAGTTTTGTAATACAGTTATCGTTTATTAATTTTATTACAGTTTTCATTTATTTCAGTTAACTAAAATGTTTTTTAATTTCAGTTTTCGTTATTTAGTTAGTTTTAATTAACTATAATAACCCTGTGGTGCATCTCTACAATTATTATAATAATTAATATTAAGATACCAGGTCCCCCATTGTAGTTCAAGAGACCTTTGAAATTGTGTCATATTTTAATTTTAGTACAGTTGCTTCATAAGCTCATTATTTTTTATTATTTTTTATGCGTGAAGTTTAGTAAAACAAGTTAAAAAATAATCAAGGCAACAAAGTACAAGTCTGCTTAGTTATAGCACTAAAATTGGAACATGTCTCAAGGGTTTTGACACAAAAGAACAAAAGAATATGGATTTTTTTCTAATATTTGAAATTTATACTTGAAAAATGGATTCTGTTCAATTTGTTGCAGCGATACGGAGAGATTTTTTTTCACTTTACACAATAAAAGGTGACAGAAAAAAAAACACTTTTAATCAAGCACAGCTCAAGGTATAATCCTTGATCTCAGTGTAAACATCCAGAACTAATAAAACCTGGCTGCCCGGTTCTTCCTGTCCGATATTAAAGATACTCCACAGAGCCTCAAACGCTGTTAGCAGGGTTACAATTACTTGTCCTTAAATTGATTTAGAGTACAAAAATGTTCAAAGGAGACCACATCTTTAAACTCTGCAGGCATCTTGGAAACGCGATCTTTAATATTAGCTAGAAAATAAACAAATAACGATCAGAGCTGTAACTTGGAAGAGACTGACCTCTAAAATCTGGTATAAAGGCTACAGTGATCTCCCCCCATAACCCCCTCAATCCTCCTTCACAAGTTATCAC